CTCCTCTGGTCAATGACACGAGCCCCTGGAATTCAAACTGAGTGATATTCTGAGTTTCTCAGGGTGTTCTGCAGCACCTTCATGCACAGTTGAAGTGTTTTCTTTCTACAAAAAGGCAGGGGAGCAAAAGGAATTTAAAAAAGAAAACTTTACATTTTGTTCTTTTCCATTCTGGTATTTAGAATTGAAAAAGGAGAAGAAGTACTGAGTCTCACATGCTGCTCTGAAAACATCAAAAAAATAATCAGGGAGGGGACGCTCCTGCTCTCAGGAATAGAGACTCAGATTTTCTGCCAAGGACAGCTTCCTTAACTGCCTCCTTTGCAGCAACAGTGCAGCAGTGTGGAATTTTAAAACTTCCCCAACATATTGAATTGCATCATTTTTACTCTCTTGCAGGCCAGGCACTACAGAGCTGTTGGAGAATTCCTACAGAGCAGGCCTTAGAGGAAGGTTCTCTACTGCATCCTGGACCAATAATAAAGCTTTGGTAAAGTTCAGGGTCTCTATTAGTTCCAATCAGGTTGAGATGGAAGCACCAATAGTTTCAGAGATATGAATAGACTACACTAGAGTGTTTCTCTAGATTTGAGAAATCTTACTTGGTCCCAAAAATTAGTGATGAACTATACAGTAGCCCAGAAATGAACTATAAATGGGTTAAATATTTTCCTGCCTTTTCTAGGGAAATAGAAAATTTAGACACTTTGGATAGATTTTATACAAATAATTCCTAAGAGGTATAGCTGTGCCCACGAGTTAAAAATTAGAACCATGGTTTGACCCTTTCTTGAAGAAAGTCTGGAGCAGATTCATCTATAGAACATGTACCATAAGAATAGCTAGTATTTGATCATGAGGATTCCTAGTAGCTGCATTCCTTCCAGAGTGTCACTCAGTGCACATCCATCTAAGTAGAGCAATTTGTCATAAAACCATCATGTGTGATCCACAGGGCTTTGTCTCTCCGAGGAAGAGACACTAATTAACCATTGACTGTGCCCTTTCAAATTAGGAATATGCCTAATTAATGGCCCAACCAAGTGTAAAAAGAAAACCCCAAGTAAGAAAGCATTTAAAATTCAGTATAAGAGAAGAAAACTATATAGGCTAACATTTCCACTTATCTCATACCTCATGCTCATAAAACACATCCTCCAGTGTCTTTCCTCCATTGCCATCACCAACAGCATCAAATAAAGGCTTGTATACCTTAAAAACAAAGATGAGATTGTTTTTAAAGAAAGTTTCATTTCTCATAAATGTGTATGAGTGTATTTTCCTACCAGTATAGAAATTGTGCATCTATTTAAAATGATACAGTGTAAGGTCTATGAGTCGGAAACAACTCGACAGCACTTAACAACAACAACAACACAAGGTCTAGATATTTTTTATAAGATCTTTGGTCTTCAGAGGAAAGGCAAAAAAAAAAAAAAAAATCCAAGTAACAAGAGAGTGTGGATGATATTCTAGCATATTGGCTTATTTAGGTCTACAGGCAAGAGGAAAAAGCAATTCCACTCTCAATGTACAGTAGGCTGACCAATCTCCACATTCAGATTCTTAGGGCTGTGAGTCACATTATAGAGACTCACTGAAGGATTGTGATTTGTCAAGTAAATGGGTTCTATAACAATTGATAGAATTCACATGGAAATTTAAGTGTGAGAGATGTGAAAACTGGGGAGAAGCTCAAATTTTGATATCATGCTAAAAAACCTCATGCAATTACATGATATGTTACAAAGATTTGTGCATCATTTGCTGACTTTTATCTTTCCTGTGGATAAGGCATTTAGCTGCTAACCAGGTCAGTGATTCAAACCCATTAGCCACTCTGTGGAAGTAAAGATGGGACAGTCTACTTCTGTAAAGATTTACCGCCTTGAAAACACAATGGGAGCTACTATGAGTCTAAATCGACTTGCTGGCTGTGAGGGTTTTTTTTTTTATTATTGTTCCTGTGAAGTTCCTTCAAAAAACCAATTTCACTGCCATTCAGTCAATTCCAATTCATAATGACCTCCACTGGGTTTCCAAGGCTGTAAATCTTTTACAGAAGTGGGCTGCCTCACCTTTCCTCTGTGGAGCAGCTGGTGGGTTCAAACCACCAATCTCTTGGCTGGCAGCCAAATGCCTTAACCACTGTACCACCAGAGCTCCTCCAAGGGTCATGCAAATTGCTGACCACTTGAGTACTAGCCAAAAGGTTGGTGGTTTGAGTCTACCCTGAGGTGCCTCAGAAGAAAGGCCTAGTGATCTATTCTCAAAAAACTCAGCCAGTGAAACTCTGAAGAGCACACTTCTATTTTGTTGACACACTTAGGGCAGCCATGAGTCTGAGTCAACTCAACCGTAGCTGGTTCATGTTGTCTTTTCTGAAGTGCTTCAGAAATATGCAGGAGAGGTAAGAGTGTCCTTGTAGTCTGGAAAAGTTACCTGGAGGGTACGTACATTACTGTCTACAAATCTGAGGGAAGAAGTGCATGATCCTGAGCTGAGAAGCTTCAGGCTCCCTAAGAGCAGCTGGGTGCTGGAGTCGGGAAGGATGTAAACAGCTCTCTTTCCTTCTCCTATTTCTGGCCATTCAGCAAAGGTACTGGTATAAGACTATGTGTCCATGGTCTCTCTTGTAGTCCACGTAGACATTCTGTACCTTGCCTGTTTACCCAATCCACATTTGAAAGGATTGTTGGGACAGGCTATCTTACATAACTTTGACCCGAGCTTCCATTTCCAGGACACTGCAGCAATCTCTGGGGGAATTTGCTTTATCAAGCATTTCAAAAGACCTGTGCAAATGACCACTCCCCAGGGGAATTAAACAAGTACATACTTCGCAGGAACCTTAAAAAAAAAAAAAAAAAAACCCACCAGCTTGGGCTAGAAACTTGAAATATTTCTTTGGAAGAGATAGTTAAAAACATTGTACTTGCTTTAGATAAGAAGTGTAAATTTGACTTAGGAGCTTCTGAAGTGCATGTGGTGAAATGTGGCATGCGGTTTGGGGATTCTAAAACACTTAAGGAACCCAGTATAATCGCGTACTCCGTAATGATCTGCAACCCTCTTCATCTGTTCAAAGTCTTCTGCTTGAGCCAACAGGCGCAGGCCCTCAGGATACAGCTTGCCACAGGTTGGATAAAGGGACTCCCGGTCATCCTTGGTCAATTCAGTGCCAAAGGAGTTAAGCGTGATGATAAAAGCACGTCTGTCGGCCTCAAACTGAATTTGCAAAACATGAAGTCAGTGAAGTCTATTCATCTACTAAATGCTATAAACAAAACTTTAAGTACACAAATTCATTTCCAAAGTGATTTGCTTTCCTTTCCAGATCTATATCTAATTAATACAGACGTGTTATTAATGTTCCCTTAGACTCCTATAAGTAACTTTACTTGCCAGAAAAAGGCCACATAGTAAAGATGGCCTACAACTCTTGTTGAAGTTTCACTAAATTTTATTTCCCAGGCACCCTGCAATTAGTTACTTATGTGTTCTCTGTCATGTACACCACTGGAGTCTTTTCCATAAAAATGAGACTAATAATACTTACCTGCTTCTTGGGATTCATTCAGAGTTAGTAAAAGATAGTTTAAGAGCAAGTGTATAGAAGAATGTTTAGAACAAAAAATGCATATAATACACTTTCTAACAGTTAATATCACTTTCTAACAGTTGATGCTAGTATACTTTTTGCATAATGAAACCAGTGCATTCCTTGGTACTCTCAGGATTTTCTTTTTAACACCTTGGTAAGATGTCAACAAATCTAGCTCTGCCTGTAACTAACGATTCTGTGGCTTAGGGAAAGTTATCTTTCTCTCAGGATTTCAGTTTCCTATTTTGTAAGATGATGGTGTTTGGTTGCATGATCTTTAAGGTAGGTCACCATATACTTAGGGCCATATACTCACATACTCTATGTGCACACTGGGTACCTGTGCTCCCATCCCCACATCAGATTTCTCTGTTTAATCTAACCACTCACTCCTTGACATTCTTTATTCCTTTGGCCTCATGTTTCTATTGTGTCTTGGTTCTACTCCTATGTACCCTGATCATTCTATATGTACCCTGATCATTCTATCTCAGTCTATCCTCCCAGGCTCCTCCTCTGCCCACCAAAGGTGTTGACCATGGTGAACTTGGGTTAAAATACATTTCTCTATATACCCAAAAGGACTGTGGCAGGGCTCTGGTTAAAGCATGGGGCTACTATCCAAAAAAGTCAGTGGTTCGAACCCACCAGCTGCTTAGTGGCAGAAAGTGAGGCAGTCTGTTTCTGTAAAGATTACAGCTTTGGAAACTCTATGAGGCCAATCTACTCTGTCCTGTAGGGTTGCTATGAGTTGGAATTGACTCGAGGGCAGTGGTTTTGGTTTTTTTAATTGTGTACCCAAAACACCCTGAACTTACCACATTATGTATTTTAAATCTGTGTATTTTCCTCCCCACTAGATGGTAAAAATCTTTGGTTGACCATGTCTCTTTGATTCATCATTCATTTCTGAATATTCAATACCCAACACATAGTAAGATCTTAACTATTTACTGAGTCAAGCAGAATGGTCTGTGAGTTAACCATTCTGGTAATTCTCCAATATTATCTAAAATATTGCTTCGCTAAGTATGCTTCATGGATCAGCAGATTTGGCGTTTCCTGGGAGTTTATCACACCTACTGAACCAGAGTCCATATTTTAATAAGATTCCAAGGTGATTTGTCTGTATTAAAGCTGAATAAAGAATTGCTCTTCAATATTTTTAAGTCTACTTACTTTTTGACTAATTAACCAGTAACAAAAACAGACTTGCCATAGATTTTACTGGAACCCTTTTGTTTGGAAGGTGTTTCCTATCAGAAGGAGGGTGAGAGTTTGTTCTACCTGACCCTTCTGATTGTCCTCAAGGAAATCAGGGGTGAGCCACAAGCAGGGAGTGGCTTCACTTAGAAGCAAAGGCAGTTTCTTCTGCCTACTGAATATAAGATGGTAATTGTAGACCTTCAAGGGATAAGGGAAGGAATTCTGGTGGCATAGTAGTTAAGTGTTCAGCTGCTAACAAAAAGGTCAGTGGTTCAAATCTATCAGCCGCTACTCAGGAGAAAGATAAGGCAGTCTACTCCCGTAAAGATTAACAAAAATAAAACAAAAGCAAACTCATTGCCGTGGAGTCTGATCCGACTCATAGCGACCCCTGCTTGGGTTTCTGAGGTGGTATCACTACTGAAGTAGATTGCCCCATCTTCCTTCCGAGGAGTGGCTGGTGGGTTTGAACCGCCAGCCTCCTGGTTAGCAGTCAAATGCCTTAGGCACTATGCCACTGTTGTTGTTGTTGTTATGTGCCGTCGACTCAGCCCCAACTCATAGCGACCCCTCCTTGGGTTTCCGAGGCAGTATCACTACGGAAGTAGGATTGCCCAACCTTCCTTCCGAGGAGTGGCTGGTGGGTTTGAACCGCCAGCCGTCTGGTTAGCAGGCAAGTGTCTTAGCCACTATGCTACCAGAGCTCCACTGTTGTTGTTGTTGTTATGTGCCGTCGAGTCAGCCCTGACTCATAGCGACCCCTCCTTGGGTTTCCGAGGCAGTATCACTACGGAAGTAGGATTGCCCAACCTTCCTTCCGAGGAGTGGCTGGTGGGTTTGAACCGCCAGCCGTCTGGTTAGCAGGCAAGTGCCTTAGCCACTATGCTACCACAGCTCCCCCAGAGCTCCACTAGAGCTCCTTAAATCCATAAAGATTACAGCCTAGTAAACCCCATGAGACAGTTCTACTTTCTTCTCTAGGGTCTCTATGAGTCAGAATAGGGTTTGATTTTAGGGATAAAAGAAGGAGCCCTGATGGCACAATGATTAAGCACTCAGCAGCCAGCTCAAAGTCTGGTGTTTGAACTCTCTACAAGCTCTACAGGAGAAAGGCTAGAAAACCCTCTGGGGACAGTTCTGCTGGGGTCACTATGAGTCAAAATCCACTCAGAAGCATCAAACAACAATGGGACAAGAGATGGAGATTTCATGGCAATAACAAATCTTCAAATAAAATGTAGGGCAGGAGGAGGCAACAATGGAATTGTCCTAAGTGTTCTTTAAAGAGGTTTCTAGTTCAAAGATGTTAAGATTTTTAAGAGAGAAATGGAAAAGTGTTGACTGGACTGCAGACACACAAGTAGCTGAGGCCATTTTGGAGGAGGAAGCTGCAAGATGTTCACCACTCAAGTATTGGGAAGCAGTTGGAGAAGGAGGATGGACAGGTAGCTGGGAAGAGATCAAGAAGGGCTTCATACACCATGCTAACAGAGGTCTTTAACTGATACAACAGGTTACTTCTACACACTTTCCAACTCCTTGTCTTTGCTAATGCTTCTTCCTGTTGTCTACACAATGCCATATACTCTATTCTATAACTTGCCATGTCAAAATCTTGATTCCACTTGAGGGGCCTCCTCAGATGCCATCTTTCCAACAACAAGCTCTCCTATTTCTTCTCTAATTGGATCTGTCTTACTTTGAACCCCTGTTACACTTTAATTTCCTGCTTACTATCACTGTCTGGGTGTCTTGTCTGCCTTACTCTTCTCTTCTAATCTAGAAGCTTTTCATGTGTGAACATATGTATCTTCTTCTTGAAAATAACTGTAATTTTGGAATTGTAAAAGTACCACACTGTTCTTTGACAGTCCCTAAGCAGACAGTTTGACACGACATCTATGATGGTTAAGGTTATGTGTCAACTTGGCTAGGCCATGATTCTCAGTGGTTTGGTACATATTATTTAATCATCCTCCACTTTGTGATTGGCTGTGAGCAGCCAATCAGTTGAAAGGGAAGTTTCTTTGGGCATGTGACCTGCATCCAATATAGGTAAAGCTAGTAAAGCTCACTCTCTCTCAATCCTGCATTCAATCTAGCATTCTCCTTGTCATCCTCTCACCTCCAGTTCTTGGTATGTGAGCCAACAGCCTGCCACTCGACCTACAAATTTTGGATTTGCCAGATCTTGAAACCTTGTGAATCAGTAGCCTTCTACTTGACTGCAGAGTTTTGTTTGTCAGCCCTTGCTACCACGTGAGTCAGGAAAAGCCTCCAGCCTACTGCTAAACCAGGATTTGGGACTTGCCAGCCTCTACAATCACATGAGCCACTTCCTTGAAATAAATCCCCCTCTATATATTTACGGGAGCTCTGGTGGCATAGTGCCTAAGGCATTTGACTGCTAACCAGAAGGCTGGCAGTGGAAAACCCACCATCAAGTCCTTGGAATATGCTTCACTGGTTTTGCTCCTCTAGAGAATCCAGCCTAAAACAACATCTGATTGCAAAGAGTAAATGGGATGGTATTAGTTCCACTTAACCCCTGCTTCTTCACAGAGGATCAGTGTGCTGCTTGAGAGTGTCACTTGGATGTCTTATGCCTCTTACTGCTTACCTTTTATTCCTTCCTAAAAATAGGCATTCATTTTAAAGCCATAACTTATTTTTTGTTGTTGCAAGAAATGAGTGTCCTATTGACTTGTGAACTAAATTCTTCAAGATCATTACTAGCTGCAGGTGATACAGTTAAGCTGACCATTCTTGTCCATTCCTTGAATGAGGAAGGGTAGACGAGGTGGGAGCCTGTGGGTGGAGGTGTTGATGGCAGTGGAAGAGAGTGAAATGAACTGGAATCAAGGCCAGTCTTATTAGCAGAATGTACTGACCAGTGGAGAGAAAACAAACACATTCAGTGTTTATTTTTCACTGTGTTTCATTAACCATACAGACAGCCAGAAGAGCAGAGGGAAAAAAACAAACAGTACACTTCAGTGCACTTGTCTGGAACATAATTTAGTGTCTTTTTTCACATGAAGTTACAATTTCAAGTTACAATTTTGTAATTAGGTCAACATTTCTCATGCAAGTATAGGTTAATGCTTTTTCTCAACCACATTAAATCTTTTGAAGTCTCCTGTCAAATGAGATTTTATGAGAATATATACAGAAAAAGTTTATGAACTATAGGTACATGCTCTCCAGTTGCACAAATAACAGGGATAGCAGGAGGTAATTGCATGACTTAAAATATTTAC